TGGAAGGGATTAAAAGTTGGCTGGTATGTTTTTATTTGTTTAGAGGGCTTATTGTTAATTTCTTAAATAATAAAGTTAATAACTTTTAAAACTACGTTTTAGAAGCGGATAATTTTTTTTTCTTTTTCACACCAAAAAAGACAAACTTAGGAATCATAACTACATCAATTTCAATATTAATACCAACTACTACGCTTTTTTAAAATAATTTTTGAGTTGTAAACGTTTAAAACTAAAGCTTTCAGAATTTTTGGTATTTTGGCCAATATTTTAAAAGTGGCGTTGCATACGGGCTTTTAAATCATAGTGGTGTTGAAAATAAGTTCAAATGAATAAAAAAATAATACATTAAGACATAAGCTCACGCTCCACTAGAATAAATTTTTACAAAAAGCGTAGAAAGTTGGCAGCCCAGTACTTAATAGTAGTAATAAGTTTCGACAGACGCATGGAAAAATTTTGATTGATGCTGTGAGGAGGAGTCCGAAAACAAGTTTCTCCTGTTGACGGAGGACAGAGGTGTATATAAATGACACAAAGTATTGTGAGATACAAAAGCGAGGACATAACATCATTTTTCCACATAATTAGGAAGCACTGATATTTGTCAAACAGCTAAATCTTTTTTCAGACTATATCATTATTCAGGGCAGGAAACTGACGGAAATCTTAGGGTAGGAGATTTGGACAGTACGGTGGATATTCAAGGCACTTTAAACCAAAAATTGCAATATGAATTTGCATTGTACAAAAACAAAACTCCATGCGTGAAAAGGCTAGCCCGATTTTTTCGAATTACAGCAGGGTGTAAAAGTATCTCGTCACATTGATGGTTCAAATCTTCAAAAAGTACCAGTTAGCAAAAAAAAAAAAAAAAGGACCAGACGGAGAAATTTGTCTAAACTTAGTACAGGCATTGCGACTGACATGACATATTTATAATCATTATTTATGACATATTTTAAGCTCAATCGTTGTCATATTTTTTCCATTACTGTTAGAAAACTAGAGAGAAACTCATTTTTGAACTCACACATATTCAAGTTTGTTTCGTAAGTGATGAACTTTAAGTTTTTTCTATTAGGTGTATCTAAAATATAATTTTTTTTTATACATTTCAGTCAAACTGCAAAATTTAGATTTTATCTTTGTTTTATTTCATTTTAATATTTTTTTCTTTTGACTTTTCTATCTGTTAGTTTAACATTGGAACGATGTCAAACGTTTGATTGATTTTTGACTTGCAACGTTTAGGGCAGTGTTTTCCTAACTTATGAACTTTGTGTACCCTTTATAAATTTTCCGTAACGCTGTGTACCACTAATACAAAAATGAATGTATTCTTTACTATGAAACAATTGCACAAAAGTTAAAAATCTGTTGACACCACTGATTATTAACTAGCTGTTGACACCACTAACACTATTAACTTTGCGAAAAATAGCCAATAGATAAAAAGTAATCGTAAATTTTCATGACTAGATTCTTTTTGGAGCTATCTGGAATAAACTGAAACCTGCATTGTCCTCAGACAAAGAGCTCTTTAAGGGATTTTAACAATCTAGCTAATCAGAGAGGGATTTAAATTCTGTCTTCCAGATTCCATCAACATAACCACAAAGTTAATTAGTAGTTCAGGCGTTTCTTCGCTTAAAATTTGAATAGAAAGGAATATACCAATGCAATTTTTGTTGTTCGATTTGTATCCAGGTAGGCAGTCGCATGAATATTTAGATATGTTTTGTTTGTCATTAATGCAAGTAAAGAAGTCTCCTTTCCCCTGACATTCCTTATTTCCTCCATAATCTTCGCAACCAGTTTTTGCTGAAATATAAAAAGACAAAAATAGTTGCCTTTAAAGAGCCACACTATAAAAAATAATTTTCTACATTAAAGAAAAGAAAAAAAAACCGTAGTATGATTTTTTAATACATTTAAGCCTATGAATTGAATAGAAAATAAATTGAATATAAACGACTATTTTCATACCAATGCATTGTTTGTTGTCCAANATTCGGAGCAGTTGGTATCTCTGAATATACGTTTCGTTCTTAACGGATAGCATATAAAATATAGACCGGGATGTATTAACTTAAAAACTGAAATAATAAAACAAGTTAAACGTTGTTGAAATTGCAGACAAATCCTTACTTTCACATTGCTTCGTTTCATAATTGTAATATTGATCTGTTGAGCAGTCACAATATCCGATTCTTGTTTTGAAATCAAATCGGCATTTTCCAGCTTGGCACTCGGATTTTCCAAATCCTTCGGAGCACCAATAACTATCTCCGCAGTCGGGTCCACCAAATGGATATTTACATATACATCTTTCCTTTTCATCTTCCATCACACAGACTCCAAGATTTTTGCAGTTGTTTTTCTTACATAGTTTGTACTCTGAAAAGATGCAGAATTAATTATTTCAATAATTTTGTTACGTTGTTATTGTTTTAACAATTGCCTATACCAACAAGTATGCTATGGGAATCTATAGCAATTTGAAGGCAGTGGTTGAGTTTCTTGTTTTTCAGTGTCGTCATTTATGGCCAAGAATTCAACTTTAACCACACACACACGCGCCACAGCCCGTTTTACAGGGAAGACAAATTCATGCTCCATTCAGTAATTCACAGATTTTTATTTTAAACCTGATCCAGAGAATGATCAATCTTCAAATCAGAACCTCCTGAGGAATTGATTTGTTATAGGGACTTAGAGGACTTTTATCCTGACAGATTTAACGTGCATCAGTGTTCCAAATGTTATGCTTTTCAAAAAAGTGTTTTAGTAGTGGAAGAGTAAAATCGATGAAATTGAGATTGTACGTTGGTGTTTCGTAAAACATTTTGCCCACAATTCAATACACAATCAAAATGCTAGAATGGTAGAAATCACATAAATCTCGATGAGCTGCTGCGAAGCGGCATTAACCGATTCATCTGCAATACTCGTAATAAATCGATGATGAGGAGTAGTGAGGAGGAATGGAGATGGGAGGAAGAGGGGGTGCTCGTCACCAAAAAAACGAGAGGGGGTTTGTGTGACATGGGCAATCAAGAAATGTTGAGTGGCATGGGGTATAATTAAATGACAATATAATCATAAACAATATAAAATAAGATAATCATGAAAATTATGATGATCGATATTATTAAGGAAGGTCTGAGTTAAATATAAAATATATATGTATATATGTTTACAACGCATGATAATCAACCCAATTTGAATAAAAGATAAGATAAAAATAAAATAGATATATAAAATAGAAAAATAATCAATGAGAGAAAATTATGTGGTGAGCTCTGTTATAGGGGTGACCTATTCATACTACATATTCCTCGGAGACGACCCCTTGGGGTTGCTAACAAGCATTACCATATATATATATATATGTTTAAATTATTCAAATGTAACGGTGGAAAAAATCATTTAAAACCATATTTAATTAGTTAGGGATAAAATATGATTGCACAAAATTTGCCACCATCCTAAATATAACTATTAAATATTCCTCGAAAGCTGGAAAATATGGGAAATATGGTAGTTTAACAAACTACTATTCAAATTCGAGGCGCATTGATTCAAACAGCATTGTCTCCATTCTCATTGTAAAAGAATAAACGTCTTTTACTAGATACTGTTCGAAACATAATACAAAATTGTTTAAATCCTGCTAGTGATCTACATTCAGTCTTTGTACAATAATTTTATCTACATTTATTGTAGAGACATCTTCTGCAGCTATATATACTAGCATGCATGTATATCTGTGTGGGCGTGTGTGTTTTATACGTAGATTTTATATACCTGATTCAGCGTTGCTAAGCAACGACAACTACAACAACAACAAAAATGTCCCGAAAAAGTGCATGCAAATTTCAAACTACCCTATATAAAAACTCCCATCTTCAATTATATTAGTTTCCTGACAATATATTTTAATTAGAAAACTCTAAAACTTCTAAGAAAATATTATCAATAACTTACTTTGAGTTGTTGAAGAGAAACTTGTCTCCGATGTTGCCTGAGAACTTGACGTTGATTGAGAAGAAATGAACATAGATGAAGTAGACGATTCAAAGCCTGTTACTGATGATGAACCATGTGGAGTAGATTCAAATGGTTTGAATGACGATGAAGAATGGTTGGAGTCATCAGTGGTGTACGTTGGTCCATACGTAATGGTTGTATGATCAGTCAAATTTGTGTAATCAGTAAAATCAGAAATGTCTGATGAAGATGAAGAATAGTTAGAATCATCAGTGATGTTTGTAGGTTTATACGTAATCGTTGTATGATCCGTTAAATTTGTGACATCACTAGTGATAGTGAAAATATCCCGAGGTGATGACGATGACGCATATGTTGAGGATTTTGGTACAGGGCTTGTATCTTTCCAAGTTGATGTTTGTGTAATTGTAGATGTGATTGGAGTAGAAGTTTCCTGTGTTAGAATAGTAGATGTGATTGGAGATGAAGCTTCTTTTGTCGGAATAGTAGATGTGATTGGAGGTGAAGCTTCTTTTGTCGGAATAGTAGATGTTATTGGAGGTGAAGCTTCTTTTGTCGGAGTAGCAGATGTTATTGGAGATGAAGCTTCTTTTGTCGGAATAGTAGATGTGATTGGAGATGAAGTTTCTGGTGTCGGAATAGTAGATGGCTTTGTGTTTATAGTTCTAGTAATAGTTGAATTAACTGTAGATGTAGCAGGAGAGGAAGTTGCTATTTCTAAAATATAAATATTCATATTATAGCTGTTATAATCTATAATAATATATTTATTATTTAAAATAATGTATTACAATAAAGTCTAAAATTTCAAATTAAGTATAGTAATTAGGTCATTTTAGTTTTAGTCTTTTTAGATCCATACTTTCATTTTGTCTTTCACTAGCTTTGTAATAATACACAATAACTTGTAGGTGATAAAAGAAAACATTCCAAATTGTAGTTTTCAGCTTTAATTTAAACTTTACGCGTCTTAGAAATGATATGCAACTAGAAACATTTTTTTAAAAAAAAAGTGGCATAAATTTATTATTTGAAAGAATCTAATAGTTTCTTAGTTTAACTTAAAAATTAAAATTCAAACCCAGCTTTCAGATCTATTAATATGTTTTATAAGAGTTATGAAATATTTTTATAGTTACTGACATAATTAAATTCAGTTTCTTATTTCAATAATATTACTTTTTAAATTTTTCCACGGGCAAATCCGCCCTGCATAGTCGAAACTTTTCAAAACACTCAACGTACCAAATTTTTGACACCTCATAGGAAGTAACTGACAAAATTATGAAAGAACATTTCATTTTGCAATTAACAGCCATCCAGTATCCTTAAAAAGCTTTTGTCACCAAATTAAAAAGCCAAAAATTTGAATTTTTTGACGCAAATGGTTTGAGTTCGTTCTCAAAAGCTATTTTTTAACTACATGAATTGATTCTTCTTCTTCATGAATTGTTGCATTTTAAGGAAAAGTAACTAATGTTTGTAACTAATTTGATTCTGTAACTGTTATAAGTTAAGTTTTGCGTAAGATTTCTTTTTTAGCTTATGAAATTAATGCTGATAACGAATTTTTTGCGGAATTACCGTCAGAAGAAAAACCGCAATGCTATATATATATATGCTGCAATTTATTGTTAAACTATAACATTGCTTCAAATTTGTCTTAAAATGTGATATTTTTATTTTTCTTTGCGAAAGAGATTCAAAAAGCACTTTTTAATGATATGAAGCAGAAATGAAGGCAAAACATATATTTCCTACAGTCTACGTAAAAATATTTTAGCTTTTCAAATCAAAACCACTAACATTTCGCCGGTATCATTCATCCACTAAACTCTTGAGTTAACCGAATTGGTCTAGCTACTTCATGTAACATCTTCTGCTGTAGAGACGCTTTCTTGTTACATTGATACATTTGAACAGTTTCTAATATTTCTAACTAA